TGATAAAAGTAGATCAAATATGAATTTATAAAATTTTAGCGGACAAATTTGTCCGCTAATCTGGACGGTTTAAGGGAAACTATATCATTTACCTATTAGGTATAGGTCAAGCTTGGTTTAATCAATTTGAATTTAAAATCTTAGATCCAAGCAGTCAAATTCAAACCACCAGTACTTCTACTGAGGATTTAAATCAACCACCTGATACTAACGAAGATGAATTTGATCATCCAATTAATCTCTTCACGGCAGAATGTTCTGTGTGATAACGATAAATCACTATTAATTACATCTTTGCATGTATATTAGCATGCAGCTCACACTTACTGAAGATAAATCAATTTTTTTTATAATAAATCTCATTAAAAAATTATTCTTATTATGTTTTATATAAGATTATAAAATTTTAATAATCTGATTTTGATTGGTATTCACGTTGATGGGTAAAATTTTGAATAATCTAGTTATATAGTAAAAATTAAACATTACTGTAATTTTTTTTGGAACTAGATTTCGCCATTCTTCTGTGGCGAAACCTCTAAGTTTCGCCTGCCAAAACTAGTTGTCACTATATTAGTCATAAGTTTTATAGTGAGTTTAAACATTTATTATAGTTGTTTTATTTATTCAGTTCTAATAATTATGCTTAATACATGGCTTATTTGGCAAAGAAATTTAAAAAAAAAAACAATTTCAGCGGTTTTATTAAGCCGTTTTACAGATTATTATATTTTGATTTCTCTTTGACTTTAATAATCCCTTATTTTAGACGTTATGAACCCAAAAAGTTTATTTATAATAAGATTTTCTTTTAAAGAATATTTTTGAATATGCCTATTCTTGCACACTTAGAGATTTGGATAATATTTTTTTAATTTTAACCACAGTTTTAACCCTTGAATTGCATTATTTTTCTTCTAACAGAATATAAAAGAAAATTGATGAAACATTATTTTTCAATACAGCAATAATTCTACTAAATCCCTGTGATTTATTGTTTGGCCTGATTCCTAAGGTTTATAAATTTCTAAATGATATATAATCACAATAAGCATTATTTGGCTCGATTTCTAGCAATTTCCCTCATTGCTTAATAAATTATTTCAAAGTAATTAATTATTTGATGACTGATTTCTAATGAGTTGTTTTCTTTATATTATCAATCATATAACTACAACTTAATGCCACTGCATTATTTGGCTCCATCTCTAATGATTTTGTTATATCCCGAAGTGAAAACTTATATTCATTCATCATATAATAAACCATACCGCGGTAACATAATGTAGATACATTATTGGGGTCAAGACTCAATGATTTATTTAAATCCCAAAGTGATTTATGATATTCTTTCATAATATAATAAATAATACCACGATAACTCAATGCTGATGCAATATTTGGCTCAATCTCTAATGATTTTGTAAAATCCAAAAGTGATTTATCATATTCCTTCCTCATATAATAAATCTTGCCACGATAACTTAATGCAGATGCGTTATTTGGTTTGATCTCTAATATTTTTGTTAAATCCAAAAGTGATTTATCATATTCCTCCATTATATAATAAATCATGCCACGGTAACTTAGTGCCAATGCATCATTTGGCTTGAGATTTAATGATTTAGTTAAATAGAGGGGGCAAGCTTAAATAATTTTTGAGAAATTTTAAAAAAACTTTTTAAAAATTATTTTAGCGGACAAATTTGTCCGCTAGACGGTTAAGGGATAATGAAAAGAATATTTAATAAAATGAATTATTAATAAATATGCTCACCCGTTACTAAAACGCCAAAAGCAAGATTGACAGCATCTTGACCAACGTCTAAAACGCATTCACATTTCTTCCAATCACCGGTGCCTATAAATAATGCTGTTAGAAATCTGTTTATTGAAATAATAAGCCAAATAAATTACCTTTCAGAGGTCGGTCCGACATATTATCGAGAGTGCAAGTCGTTTTCGTATCAACTCGCATCCACAAACCGGCCCAGCCCGTGACATCCTAAAATAAATAAATGAATACGGATGAATGAATGAAACTACTTGTTCTAAATAATTGAATAAATTCTTACGACGTATTTCAGGAAGCATGTTAATTGAACTCGTTTGCCTAAAAATTCACGAGGCATAAAATTTTGCATCAAGGTGCCAAAAACTCCAGGCTTTAATTTCCCTTCGAAAGCCGGATCAAATTTTATAAAACCACTTTTTCCGGACTAGTTGAAAAAAAAAACAATGCTCACATCAATGTGCAAATTAATAAATAATGATATAAATAAAAGCTTACAGCGTTCTCACAAAATACCGCAGAATCGACTCCCATCAGATAATATACTGGGTCAGAACCGGCACGAAACCATCCCTCTAGCAAGAAATTTAAACGCCAGAAATAATTAAAAGACTATAGTTGTTTCAATAAGTCATCTCGGTATCGCCCATAAAAATAGTTGTGAAATTTTTATAATGAATGTAAGGCATATAAAGACAAAGAAACTCTCATTTTGGAATTTTGAAGACTCACGTACGTACGTACTTGGTTGGATACGTACATGAAATTACTGTTTTTGAATCATTTTATGTGTGCATTTACTGCAACGTTATTGCTGTTATTGCTGCTAAATGTAATGTATATAAATTCAAGACAAAATTATTACGTATTATTAAATATATAAATATATTTATCCTCATGCTGATTTTCTATTTGTCATTTTTATGGGCGATACTAGGATGGTTGGTTAGTCCCTACCAGGTAAATTATACGAAATTCCGGAAGACATGGAGAAAACGAAGAAATAATAGAATAGTAAGTCATTCTTGATAGTGGTGCGTACTTACTTTTTATTTTTTGTTTTGGTTGTAGCCCTATGCGTTGACGAAGTCACGCTAGGGTTATTATCGCGAGGATAACCTGATTTGTGGCTTATATGAAATTGA